TTTTCGTTCCAGGACACAGGCAGTGTACAAAAAAGCATCTGGATTCAAGGAATCCTGATGCAGCAACATGTTTACTGATGTTGAAAAGCTACACACCGTTTTCACGAGATTTTTGTTTTACCGCAAGAAAAAAACCGAGAGAGGTGGGATTGAAAAAAAAAAGATCCATTAGAAGAAAGTCCTTTTTTCTGATGCAACATGGTGCAGCGTGCAGCATCGTGTATATTGACAATACAGAGAAAGTAAAGCTGCCTTGAGTTTGGTCACATGAACCCTATTATGATGATAGGTCAAACATGATGTTGTTTAATAGTTATTTATGTATCAAGGGTACTAAGTAGATGATTATGCCCTGAGGGCGACAGTCTTACAAAGCCGAGGGCCTCTGGCCCGAGGGTTCGTAAGTCGCCCGAGGGTATATATATCTATTAGTACCCGTGGTGCATACAAACTTTTAAGTTATACCAGTTGGTTGTGAATAATAAATACCTGGGAAAAAAATGTCACTTCGCAAATTGTCATCGGTGTGCAAACATCATCATTTTTTGACAAAAATTATATGTTTATAAGCGTAAATTTATATTTTGTTAATAAAGAATAATAAGTTAATTGAAAACTGTTTTTGCGTCTTTATGCCCGCGCGGGCCATAATGTGTACTTTATGCCCGCACGGGCATAAAGTAATGAATTAAGTAGATGGTATCTAAGGTATAAAAACACAATAATGTATTGGTATGACATAAAAAACATTATGCCCCTAGCAATGACAGATTAACACAGATAGACATTACAGTAAACAAAATTTTGTGTCGCCAACATCTAGGAGAGCAATCCACCACCGGTTTATCCCCTCCAATTTGGTTGCCACATTGTTACGGATTGATAGTTTATCCTGTTATGATTTTGCTTCAAATAGTTGGAGGTTCAAGACTATAAAGTACTACTGGCAACGCCGGTTCTATGAGACAGCCAGAACACACTTGCAATCGATTGACATGTCAACGCGCCCATCAAAATTATATCATATGAGTTAGAGGCAGACAGATAGATAAACGAGTTGCACCCGTGCGCATTTATTCATTATTTTGGTCAACTGACCCAAGTAGCACAGAAATATTGTTAATAGACTGAAGTGCTTTATATCCGATTTGTTAGAGCATTTGAAGTAACAAAACTGATTTTTAAGAGACTCGATAAATACAAATGTATCATGAAAACAAATTTATTTTGTTATTTTGCTATATAGATATTTTCAAGATTAATTTAAATAACAATTTTATAAGTTTGGTAATTAACTTGCTCATAAATATTTATATGACAAGACTTATAAAACTGTTTTTGTTTGAGATAGATATATTTTGTAGTTGCTTTATAGTAATATTCACAAACAGATATATATCACTTATAAAAGTATGCATTTTGATTTATTACGGCTTTATCATAAGATTTTATAGTATTTATGGAGAATAATTTATAAAACAGTTCATTCTTAGCAATAATTTAGTTCCGTTCAATACTCTTATAAAACTATTTTATAATTGTTGTGGAACAAAATTGAATAAAGCACTTAAAAAAGGGTTAAATAACAGAAGTGTCTCACAAAATACAAAATTATTATTAGGGTAAACCCTATAAAAATGTTATAGCACTAACCTAAAATTTAGTTTATCTACCTTCGCTGCAGAAAAATCTTGACATTTCTAGTTTTAATTCCAGTGATAATTGATATAGGTACCCATTGCTAATTATCAATATGTCAAGCATTTCTTGCTGGATAATATTAGGAAGAAGTGGCAATTTCAGGAAAGAGGTAAAGGCTAGTTTCGAAAGATATAATTTGGTGTCATTTAGCTACATATATCTGTATTAAGGGCGTTTAGCTTATAATAACGTAACATAACATAGAATAGTAATAAGGTGTCCAATTTCTAATTTTCTTATAAATGTATTCTACGATAAAAGTATCGTAAAACTGATACAGTCAGATAAACTTTATAATAATATTGTTATTTAAGCAATTTTTCTGAAGGCTATATAACAATAGTATTTTATAAGGGTTTTATTATTATCGCAATTACTTCAGATATACCGACACCCACGCCACCTAGCACCATGATCTGAAAACAGATATACATGATTCAGAACAGGCGATGCGACGTTGTCAAACTGAATATATTATCCTCAAGTATCCAGAATATTTATTTGAAATTCAATAAGAATTATTAAGGGTTGATTATGATCGAATGCCCTAGACAAATACGTAAACACATGAACCGTTACAAGTTACTGTCTATATTAGGTAGGTACTGTAACCCTGCTAGTAAACCACAGTGAACTAAAAATTAAAATACTGAGAAGGTATAATCTATATACCTAACTATTTAATTTAATTCAATTAAAAACTTGTTGGAATTGTTACGGTGTGGCCAAAAACTCTAATCAAGTAGGTACCTATGACTATTTTCTCCCAATTTTAAATTCCAACTTTTTTGATTCAATTCTGTCGGCCACGAGTTTTAAGTATGATTTTTTAAAGATGAAGTTCGAAAGTTACTAGTAACTTTTGATTTTAATCCATACAAAATTGATAATATATAAAGGTACACGTTTGTTCTTGACATTGGCAACATTGCAATGTCTGGAATATTATAATAGTTTTACGCTATGTCATTTTAGATAATAAAATACAAATGTTTTATGGAACTGCATTATAAAACACGTTATAAATAAATGTTTTATAAATATCAAATTTGTTTATTAAACATTTTCTTGGCGATAGAAATAATATATTAGTCGACGCCATGTTTTCACGTTTAATTTCACTTAGTCCTATGTCGGCCATTTTATCGTATCCAAAATAAATTAAATAAAATAATATAATTTAGAAAATTGTCGTTACTAAAAGAATAAAATCAGTTCACAATGACATAGGACATGACATAATGTCGATTTTCAACTTCACGGATGATTATTGGAGACTTTCGTGAAATTTAAATATTTTTTGTAACTGTAAAACCTTGTTAAAATTGAAGCGCGTTAAAATATCTCCAAAAAATAACCCCCAATTGATCAGTAAAATTTGCTTCGCAGTAAGATTTGAGTGTTTGAACGGTATTTAGGTGGGCTATATATTTTTCCTGATTTACCCATGCATCCTAGCAACATTTCGCCATATTCGTAATCTATAAAAGCAGAGAAGGTTGGACAACCATTTAAAAATCAGTTTTGTATTCAGCATTATGAAAATACGATAAAATATTTTTATTAAACTGTTTTAAGTATGCTATAAAATATTGTTTTATAAATGTTTTATTAGTAATTTCAACTACAGCTACAAAATTTCCAAATAATATTTATAAAGCTGTTTTATACTAAGGTTCACAAAAGACACAATTGCTATATAGGTGAATTTATCTCCTAACTTATAAACCTCTTATAAAACTGTTTCATAACGATTTTATAAAGCACTTCATAATATTTTGTAAATGCTATTCGCGATCCTGAAACAACTTTAAAACAATAATAATATTTTATAAACCTGTGCCTTTTTCATACTTATAGGCGTCATATAAGCGTTTACAACCCAACTAAGAAATATCGCAGTTATATAGTAAGATGTTTTATAGCAATGTAAATGATCCTAATAAGCACATTTGTGCTACTTGGGGAATGACGGGATCAGAGGGAAATACGGGTCTTGTTTACACCACTGATGCATCCTTACCATGACCCGCTCGAGCAACTCACCTCTCCTGGCCCATGGGGGGTCTTTTCATCACAACAGACATCACTTTATGAATGAAATGTGGTGTCTATCTGTGTTAAGATGTCATTGTGAAAAAGTCCTTCGAATTCGGACAGAATAATGCGCGATCACACCGAGCAAGGGTTTGTGTCGAGTACCGTAACCTACGATGGTTTTTCCTTTCCAACGGAGTGTAAAAACTCTGTATCAATTGTTTGTTCCACCTGCGTTGACTACTCGGACAATTTTTGAAATAAATATGTCTGAGCATTGAGCAAAGCTTAGGAGAAACTGATCAAGTGTGCAAAGGATGTCAATCTGTGATATATCTTATCCTGCTTGTGAAAAAAATTAATAAACATAAGCTCGTGCTACCATCAGTTGACCTTAGCGGAAATGAGGTTGCTGTCAAAATTGTCAAATCTCCAATTTCACAATGTCTCAGGTACCTAAATACAATGAAACTAAATATATAAACCATATTATTATGAGTAGGTAGGTACCTATTGAAACATGGCTTATGATCAATTCCACGCATATATATTATTTAGGTACCTACTTGTAAAAAGCCAAGCAGAGCAAAAGCTAAAAAACGAATAATTAGTGTTCTCCATGTAAATCTTTCTTCGTTCGAGAGCCGTAAGAGAGCTGGCGTAAGAAAATAATTAAGCGGCAAATTAGGATTGGCTTACCGCCATCGGCTTGTACATCTGATATAAAGAGAAAGAGAGATTCTTCACTGGTTGACCTTTTCGTATATCTATTCTAGAGTTCATCAGCCGCGGGAAATCTATAGCCATTAAAAAATTAAATTACTTATCGCTTTAAAAAGGTGAAAATCCATAAGGAACACTCAATAAGACGAGAGTACTAACTATTTTGGTCTTATAAAGACTTTAGCAGTAAAAGTAATTTAAAAAAAAAATCCCGTGATTACGGATCAGATTTGTCCCCATGTGTCGTAGATGGCTAACTATAAGGACAAGTAACAAGGAAACGCATGTTCTTTTTGTCACATTACCGACGTAACACGGTGTTTTCGCAGCGGGCGTCCCCCAGAGACATCTGGGTACCTACTACGCAACAGGGGGGCATGTCCGCGAGCTCAAATCTTTCTTATTACATCTTACGTACGTTACATATTAATTTGCAGTTTATTGTGAAAGTAGTAACAGTTTAATATTCGAGGCGTAGCCATGGTTGATAATATTCTCAAATTATATCAAAACATTTTTATCAAGAAGATATTACTTACCCATCGTCCAGCTTCGTTGTTGTGCAAATTCATTTTTTCTCTTAAACTTTTTCCCCTTTCTCCTGTATCGACAAATTCTCGACTAACATCGACACCAAAACCAATATTATCTGAGCATCCTCCCCATTCAAAGTCTCGAACATTAGCTACAGCTCCTGTATTGGCGTTGCTGAAAACTTGAGGTCGTCTGTAGTGTTTTTCGCAGTAGCAAGTTTCAATGGAACCTTCGGAGCAGGCTCGAGCAACAGAATGCGTCACAGCTGCACTAGTGATTGCGTAGACGAACGCTGTTTCTGGACAACCTGAAAATGAGATTAAATTATTTATTTTTGCCCGCAGCTCTATCAGAGACTACCCCTTTGATGTTGGGTAAGTGGCCCAAACTAATTTAAATAAAAGGATTTTTTTGATGTCCGGATATACTTGTGTTCCCTTTGGTTGTTTGGGAAGGGCCGGAGTACAATAGTGAGGGTTTCAATTATATCATTGTCCAGATGCTCTGTCTTAATTTGTCATTTTTTTTTTTCAAATGAGGGGGACGAGTCTAGTGGACACGCCAATTCGGTTTTAGAATTAAATTTTGTAAAATCCATAATGACAAAAAAAAATCCGTTCGATGCGGGTGGCAAACAACCAACAAAAAATTACCTCTCGGTGAATTTTTTCTCTCTCTAAAAACCGATCCAAGAAGAAGGTGAGATACTCTGAGGTATTGAAAGGTCCATAAACAATAATAATAAATGGGCCACTAATGGGGCCCCAATGAGCTGACACTATGGGTGCGCGTGGGCCCCGCGCCACAGGGTGTCCTGTTCGGAATTTCTTCTTTGGTGGCTTACGGCGAGAGGTGAATACATGACTTTCGCAGAACCGGATTAAATGATTATCATCTATATTTAAACCAAAAAGAGGCAACAAATTAATGTAAAACAAATCTCAAAGCTATGCGTTATCATTTGAAGTTCAAAGGGAAATTTTGAAAAGAATGAAGCAGCAATGCATGGATATTTCCAACATTGCGTTCTTAAGGCCGTCATTTAAATGACGGCTCTCATCGGGTAGTAACAGAATAGTCGAATGGAAGCGGTATAGTGACAGATAAAGAGGACATTTCTACGAGTATTAGAAAAGTCCAAAATATCCCGGTTACACACCTGCAGCGTGACAGATGCTAGGATTAGGATGGACGGAGCTCGCATCTTCAGATTGGCGACGCTTTTTAACAAACGAAGAATAAAAAATCACATGCGAAATGTTTGAAAAAGAATGAAGGCTTGTTGGAAGAGATTCGTCAAGGCTTGTTCAACGAATGTTTCATGGAAGGAAAAATCTCAGGAACGTGACAAAATGTGGAAGTCAATATATTTTCTCTCTCATCTTTTATTTTTCCTAATCCTGATTTTCCTATATGTTGTCTGGTTGTTTTCCCTTTCCCCCTTCCAAATTCCTCCACATAACAATAATTGCTCTGTAGATATATATTTTTCTCTTTGTCTAAACTTGAATAGTGGTCATCTGATGCCGAGAACCTAGTTCTTATTAGTACCGTCACACAAGTTAATATTATGTAAGAATAATTGCATACCTACATTTTTAAATAAAGTGGGCTTGAAGACTGAATTTATCCAAAACAAAGATAACGAGCAACAGCGAGGTAGAATGTGGAGAGTGCTGGTCTATGATATTGAAATTTGAGGTTATATTACTTATTACAGCAAGTGGGTGAATGAGTGGAAATTGCGGACCTTGAATCTTGTACACTGGAGATCAAGGTAGAGAAGTTTAAGTAGAACCGAGAAAACATGAAAAGGACTAGAATTTCTTCCGTGCGTTATTTCAAAACTATTATACATAATGCCTACTCTAATAATGGATTTCATTTTGATTGTTTTTTGTTGACATATAATTCATTTGAGTCATTCCGGTCCTGTGAACACTATATACCTAACCAAATCCCAACATCTCAATAATGTGATTTAAGGCTCATTTTAAAATATGACCCTAATAAACACGCATAATGGTTTTTCACCATTCAACGCCGTCGAAATTTATGTTTGGAAAAATATCTTTATAGCTACTGTCCGCAATTTTTCTTTTTGATCATTCATTAAAAGAACTTTACTGAACAATTTATTCCGCTGAAGATGGAAAAAAAATTCTCGTCACCCATTAGCACACTGTTTACGCAGCAATAACATGGGATATAAAGCCGGAGCCGACAATCGCTTACAACTTCATAAAATCGGGATTAAGTGTCGAACCGCGTATGCCATTTGCATGACAATAATATAGCAGCAGACCTCTTATCTCCGTGCTTGTCGTTCCGTCATTTGTTCAAAGGGGAAAAGTACAAAAGACTTTCCGTGTCATTTTAAACCTAATTAATTCCGCATATAATTGATTCTAAAATTTCCTATGCTAACATTTATATTACAGTTAATCTCTATTCATTCACGATAATATATGTAATTAGTTTTGGATCGCTCATCTCATGTTATATACGTCTAATAAAGCCCAAGAGAGGGATACCGCCCATTCGATGAATGAATTTTGACATGTGACATGCGAATCAATGGATCAACGTGTAGAGCAGAGAGGTTGTAACGTAAAACCCGAGGGGCTGAACCAAAAACATTTTGCAAAAGATTTTTGGGGCCGTCAAGGATGACTCCCTGGGGACTAATTGAGACCTTGTATGGATTGTGGGTTTTTGGGACGATTTTTTTTCTTTATAAACCGGATTTCTATTTTTTTGACGAGTTGCCACTGGCCCCTTTAAGTCCAAATTGCACCTTTCCCAGCCACAATTTACAATTACAAGAATAATTTCCCAAATAACGAACCGTAAAAATCAATTCTCGGATTTTCAACGTCAATACTCAGGCATGTTCTATACATTATAATTATTTTATAGACGGTTACGAATCGACGTCAGCAGAAGTGTAGCTAATTTGACATTCGGGCTACTGTTCCATTATTTGTCGCTATTGAAATAGTTGAATAGAGGTCGCCCTATGGGGGCAATAAATCTGCTAAAAGTTGATGAATAGCTTACCAGGTTATAAAATTATCTCGCAGAAAAGCTGTAAAACTATCATAGGTGATGTTAAAGCGGAACGTCATGATAATATTGATGGATGTAAACGCAATCAACTTTGGTTTATATTACACCAAATTATAAGCTATTAGATTGGACAGACCAGGTAAAATAACAAATAACACAGTCGATTTCGTTGATCGGATTAAAAAGATAGGTTTCCGATTAAGTCCCTTTTGGTTTTAAAACTAAAAGGATTGGAATACCATAGAAGCAGTGACGTAGAAAGGTGTGGTTTAAGATAACGACGCTCAAAAAAGGTTTGTTTTAGAGCAGCCCCGCCACTGATGGGCAAGATCATTTTGTAGCTTTAAACCCGATCGATTAAATTCTGTCGTTCGAATTATTTTAATTAACTCACTGACAAATTGATGCGCTCCGACAAGAGAATCTTAAATAAATTTTCGACGATGTCACTAATAGACGTCCATTACCTAAATTAGAATAACGTGTCGTCCATTTAGGACTGTTTTGGTTAGCCGAGAAATTTTGGTTGATTATTTATTGAACTGATTGCACCTTAATTTGTATATTTCATTCATAAAAAAATTGTTTATTGATTTTTTATATCTATATTATACAAAAGTATGACGCAGTTTCAAGCTTGATATAAACTGGACCTTTTTGCTTGCCTCACACCGAGTGGATCTCCAATTAGTTAGCAGTTGGTTCTTATTTCATCTGTTCAGTTCTGCCATAAGGTGTCTCATCATTAGTCCACAGAATGGCTATGAGGCCTTTTTTTGTTTTTTAGTGGGGAGGCTTATTGTGCTGAATCTTCCTGTTTACTGCACCCATTGGCCATTCCAAAACCCTGGTTCCCTGCAGTAGGCGAAGTAGGTCTGTTGGATGTTTGCCGTAGATGTCAGTCTGGATCTAGTTCATCTTCTCCAATTATCTTTTGTCTTCTGCGAGTAAGTGTATCGCAATAATATGTTGGGCTGTTTCAGTCTCTGTTCCACATAGTCTGCAGCTCGTGTCTCCGTTGTATAAGCCCATTGTTTGGGGGCATGCCCAGTGAGAAAGCCCATTGCTACTCTGAGTTGATTCCTGCTTAGTTGTAGCAGTCTTTTTGCTCTTTCATTACATGTCTCACGTATGAAGATTTTCCCATGTGCATGCTTGGGAACTATTTGCTTCCAGTGTTGAGAATGTTTTGCTTTGACCCATTCCTTCAGCTCCTTTCTCACTGTGCTTTTGGGCACTCTGAGAGCTGGTTCGGGACCAAGGTATTCCATGGATGACCCCCTGCGTGCAAGTTCGTCGGCCTTTTCGTTGCCCGGGATACCTCTATGTTCTGGCACCCACATCAATGCGACGTTATTTTGGTCCGCCAAGTTCTTGACTTCTTCTCAACATTCTGTGAGTAAAGTGAGTCTCCTGTCTTTGCAGGCCCTTATATTGTTGATTCTTGCGAATTGTAGTATTGCATATCCCTCTGCCTGGAAAACAGATGTATGTGACCCTAGCGATAAGAAGGTCTCGCATCTTTCTTCTTGACTATAGATTCCTGCACCTGTGCCATTCTCAGTCTTTAACCCGTCCGAGTACCAGTCTGGCCTTTGAGTTTGGAAAGTATATGTTGGTTTTCCCATTCCCTCCTTTCACTAATTAGGACTTGGAAGGATATGTCGGGTCAGTATTTGAGAAGTGCATAGTCAGTTATCATGTCGAATACTGTCAGATTTATGACTTCCTTTATTCGTGTTTGGCCTGATCTGACTGTTAGTTTGCTCAGGTTGTTTAATTGTCTGTGGAGGCCCATCCTGGCTTCCGCCTGAATCACAATGTGTAACGAAGGTAGGTCTAGTAGGACCTCCAGAGCTGCTGTTGGTGTGCTTTTCATGCACCCTGTAATGTCCAGACAGGCAAATCTCTGGATCCTGCCAAGTCTTATTCTGGCTCTGTCTTGTTGTGTCTTTGTCCACCATATCAAAGATGCAACCGTTGTGTATAGCCAGTGCATCATGTCCGGCCGCAACCCCCCAGGTTTTTCCGAAATTTCTCCTGGCAAGTATAAGTACCAGTTCCGAGCTTTTAATTACTTTTGTCTAGATGTTTGTTCCAAGTTAATATTGAGTCTATGAAAACCCCAAGATATTTAACTTCGTCCGACATCGTAATTGGGTTTCCCTGGAGGTAAAGAGATCCAGGTCCCTTCATTTTCCTTCTGTTGGTAAAGGGGACAATTGTCGATTTGGTGGCACTAATTTTCAACCCTAGAGTCTCTGTCCACCTAGAGACCATTGTTGCAGCCTGCTGCATGCAATCTCTAACTGTATGGTTGAATTTACCCTGGGATATTATGACCAATTCATCTGCATATCCCATTACTCAATGGTTGTTGCTCTTCAGTAGCTCTATCAGCTCGTCCATGACCAGATTCCACAGCAGGGATGATAACATTCCGCCTTGCGGACATTCCTTTGCAACCCGAGCCGTTACTGTTTTACCTAGGAGCGTGGAGTTGATGACTACCTCGAAGCATGCAGTCTATCCATTTGCAGCATGTATCATCAATTGCCTCGAAGGAAGTGTTGTCAAACGCTCCCTCTATATCAAGGAAGGCTCCCAACATAACTTCCTTATTCTCCAACGTACTTTCTACCCGCTGGACGAGGTGATGTAGTGCTGTTTCAGTTGATGTTCCTGGTTTGTGTAAGCATATTGGTCCGGATGTATTGGTCTGGTAGCCAATGCACCACCCCGAATGTGGAACTGAAGCAATTTTTCTAGAGCCTTGTCAGGTTTGGGGATGAGAACAACTCTGATTTCTTTCCAGGCTTTGGGGATATGATTTAGTCTCAAGCTTGCTGTAAATATAATTAGGAGCCTGGGGCCTCGCCATCTATGCCTTGACTTCCTGGTATCTACATGAATGCCTACATCAGGGTAACTTCGTTAGTTGCAGCTTGAGGATGTTTTTTGCCTTTCCCAACCAGCTGTGATCTGCACTTAATATCTTCTAAAGTGTCTAGAGCCATTCGACTGTCTGATAGGATGTGAATATATTCTCTTGTGAGGCTTCTTTTGAGGAGTTCTTGGGCATAGCAAGTAGTTGGGGTTGAAATATTGTGGTCTTTTTTCCATTTATTCCTCAGTCAATTTTTTCCATCATGGGATGGTCAAATGATTCAAAAAAACACGATGGAGACTGGAGACGAACATGAATGTGGATGGCCAGTGATAGATCATTACCAAGGAGGAGTGAAGGGAATGCCCATGCCCAAAGTTAGACGTTTGATTAGATAGAGAGATAGGACGTACTATATATTTGAGCAAGTCGAGAATAATAATAATGAATTTGAATAATAGATTTGTTCTCGCGTAAAGTTTCTGCTGATTGAGGGGATGGGATGGCTTGACGGCATCACTGATATCTGGACACAAGTTACAGAGCAAGATTATTTTGTACCCTTAGAAATAATTGCTGCAAGAACAAGCCTAATACCTTAAGCAAGATTGCAATCATCTTAGAACAGCAGCATACCACATCTCGTATACTTATAGCATAGCTTATTGTCATTAATTAGAGTGATACACATTTTAGTACTACGATTTGTACCCATCAAAGGATGAATAAGCCACAATAATTTGCGTCAAAGTTTTTGAAAAAAAATTCTCGCTGCAATAAAATAAATGTGATGAATTCCCAGCACTAAAAAACCTGTAAGACACGGTCGATATGGCATAATAAACTCACAACTGTGCCCATTTGACAGGTCCGTATGATCCGCGTTGTTTATGGCAATGTTAACAGCCGGGAATGCCATGTCGCGTGCAGAAATATGTCCGCCGTCGATACTATTTCAATTTTTTCGATATCGACATTTATCGGCTCACATAAATCATACTTCGACCTGATGTTGGTTGGGTTGGCGCGAGGCTCTCCGACTCTTTGGGTATACGGGATGATGAAACTTGAAACGATATAAATTGATCTCTGATGTAAATCCACTCAATTTTTTTCAGTTCATTGATTCAAAGGCTTTCATATTCCCGAAAACTTCACGAGGTATCCGTATTTATTTAACCCAGTGATATTTTTTTAGATAAACACGTCAAAAAAATTATTTTGAGATCTTAATCAAAAGCCTTACCTTTCTCTACAATCTTCCCAAATAGATTTTTTCCTTTTGAAAAATTTTTCGTACTGCAGTTCCACCGTTGATTTCTAAATTGATACTGACATTCGTTGATAGCTAGATTAGCTCCTCTGGCTACAGCTTCAAGAAGACCTGTATTTTCTTTGGCTAGTCTTCGTTGTTTACGTCGCAAAGTTCCATGCACTGAAGCATCCATAAAGAGCACACCAGGTTGCGTGGGAGAAATATTGTTTGGTTCGCCTGCTTTCGCGATTCCCCTAAAATAAATAAAAATTATAAAATACAATCTTTAGAAAACAATACGTTCAAAAGAAGAGAGAAATCCTTTCAATTAAGAAATCCATACAAGTACTACTTGAAAATTTATCTACTTCAAAGGTAATAAACTAACGTTGTAGTTGGTGTGTAATGTTTTTTTGTACAGAGATGATCTGAAATTTATCTCAGTGAGAAAACTGAAAAAAATATGCTGGTTTTAACACTATCAGAATCTTAATTGCGAAAAGACAATCTGAATGTTACGGACCCAGAATGAGAAAGTAAGAGGCGACGCGTGAGAACCATGCCATGCCTTTATACGAAAAGATCAGTGTTGTATCTTTTGAGAAAGGAGTTTTTGCATTGTAAAAGGGTTGTTGTTATTTATACAAAATCCATTTTCATTCCAGGCAAACTAAATTAGACAATAAATATACTTTTTTTTGCGTTCTACTTGGAATGTATCTCAATTTAAAAGGCAAAGCAGTAAAAACACTTTCATGAGTAGCAAAAAGGCTTAACAATTTAAAGCTGGTAATTAGTCAAAGGAGTTACAAAGCGTTGCTTTAAATTCCTCTCGAGCATACCCGATGCTTTGCGAAGAAAAAATCTAAGTTGTTTAACTGCGTGAGCATTAAATTTGTTTATGGGTATATGAACCTTGAGCAATTTTAAAATCAAAAGCCCAATGAAAATTCCAGAGAAAGAAATATCTCCTTGTCATCTGGAGGCGATTTTTATTGGCCTCATTATTTGTTTTCGGAGACGTTCTAATATTTCAGCTGTCTACCTTCTAGATTTTAAAAGGGTTGGATCTTGATAGTGCTTCTTGGACAGAAATATTTTTATTGTTGATTAGACTGATGAATTGGTCATCGTGGAAAATCTTTATCTAGCTCTTTCAGCTAACCAAAAAACTAATAAAAATCTTTTTAAAGAGCGACTAACAAAAGTGAGAATTGTCGACAAACACCATGCGCTTATACAGCCTGTTTACCGTCGGCAAACAGAATCGTCCCATGACAAACAACGCACAAACGTATCGTATGGGTATTCGAAAAATCAATAGAGCGTGGTTTTGGTTTGGTCGGATGGCTGATGGGTGTTCTAAGCTTTGTTCTAAGAGTCCGCTTGACGCTCAAACATACTTTGTGGTATATGTCAATTACCTTTCTGAGTGCGTTTTATTAATAGCTATTATAAGATAAGAGTTATTATTGTTGAGTAAATATACAGATTATTTGATAAGTGACACATTTAATCCATCAGGTTGATGCGTGCATTTTGTGATATTTAATCAATTTGTACGTATGAAGGGTGTGTTAGCATCCATGCCCTCGTGCTTTTGACATTTGATTCAATACGCTAAGGAAGGCTTAAGAGCTTTTTATGTTTTGAAATTCCTCTGAGGTTTAGAATTGAATTATTTTTGTCAATATCCGTCATCGTATTCACAGTTCACTGATAAATAATATACCAACCTTTTTATTTTTTTTTCCAAAAACTTGTACTTTTATTCATATTAAAGTATCTACCTAATATGATTATGGGTTTCAGGCACAAATTTTAACAAAAACAAGCTGTTAGAGTTTATGCACCGCAACTCAAATCTCTCTGTATAGGTACATACATAGTATTTACAGTTGCAACATTACTTTTTTATTGTAGTAAAGTTGCGAACCCAATATATTTGTAATAAAAATGCAATATTCCAGTAAACTTACTGATAAAGTGCAAGTAAGGTATATTTGAATTTGTAACCTTACACTCGTAAGTTTGCTGAAGTTTTGATCCAACATTCCAGTAATATTGCTGAAAGGTTATCATATATAAACCTTGCATTTGTAATATTACCCTAAGGTTGTTTCAGTACTTGCCGCAATACTGCGTTAACATTACAGTAAAAATATAACCTTACAAGTTTACAGTGTAATGTTACCTCACCATTACTGTAATCTTATTTTGTTCAGTGGGTTGCTCACTATAACCAACTGAAAAATATTTGATGCAAAAACTATTACTATTTCAAATTGTTTGAGGCGTCCACATCTCTACTGGGTGAAAACTAAATTGCCGAAACTTTAGCGTTTGGCATTTTTCACGCCTCTGAAGGTGGCGACACGAAATCGCAAAGCTAACTAGGCGTACCGACAAGCATTCTCGTTGGCGCGCTTGCATAAATTTGTTGAATAATTGAGAACATTTTTCTTTGAAATGATCTGACACAGAAAAAATCATTTGCGGAGTTAAACAACAAAAATCATTTATAAGAAGATACCAGATTTAAGGCCAAGATAGTTCATGGGTGTAGGTTAACTACAACGTTTTGATTGCAGCCAGATGTGTATTGGAATTTATTGAAGCAACTGCAATTCATGCACCCAGAGAGAATCGAGCCACATTGCGTCGAAACTAAGAATAGTCCTCATCTCTAACATTGACATCATCTTTAGCGATTTGTGTACCTTGTCTCAGGTATGAAGATTTTCCCATGTGCATGCTTGGGTATTTGCTTCCAGTGGTGAGCATGTTTTGCTTTGATCTTTGATCCATGCCTTCCGCTTCTTTATAACTGTGTTTTTGGGCACTCCGAGAGCTGGTTCGGTTCGGGACTAAGGTATTCTGTGGATGACCCCCTGCGTGCGAGTTCGTCAGCCTTTTCGTTGGCCGGGCTACCTCTATGTCCTGGCACCCACATCAATGCGACGTTATTTTGGTCCGTCGAGTTGTTGATTTCTTCTCGGCATCCTATTACCAATGCAGAGGAGTTTGCCTTAGGGTTCTTCAATTCCCCCAGTGCTGCCTGACTGTCTGTGAGTAAAGTGAGTCTCCTGTCTTTGCAGGCCCTGATATTGTTGATTCTTGCGAATTGTAGTATTGCATATACCTCTGCCTGGAAAACAGATGTATGTGACCCTAAAGAGAAGAAGGTCTCGCATCTTCCTTCTTGACTGTAGATTCCTGCGCCTGTGCCATTATCAGTCTGACCCGTCCGACTACCAGGTCTGGCTTTGAGATTGGAGAGTGCATGTTGGTTTTCCCATTCCTCTTTTCACTAATCAGGACTTGGAAGGATGTGTCGGGTGAGTATTTGGGAAGTGCATAGTCAGTTATCATGTCGAATACTGCCAGATTTATGACTTCACTAATTTGTGTGTGGCCTGATCTGATTGTTAGTTTGCTCAGGTTCTTTCGTTGTCTGTGGTGGCATAGTAAAAATTCCAGAGCTGCTGTTAGTGTGCTTTTCATGCACCCTGTAGTTCCCAGACAGGCTTTGCATCCTGCCAAGTCTCATTCTGGCTGTCTTGTTGTGTCTTTGTCCACCTTATCAAAGACGCATAGATTATTGCTGGCTTTAAAACCGTTGTGTATAGCCAGTGCATCATGTCCGGCTGCAGCCCCCAGGTTTTTCCGAAAGTTTTCCTGGCTAGCATAAGTACCAGTTTTGGCCCTTCAATTATTACTTTGTCCAGATGTTTGTTCCAAGCTGATTTTGAGTCTATGATTACCTCAAGATATCTTACTTCGTCCGACATCGTAACTGGGTTATGCTGAAGGTAAAGAGATCCAAGTCCCTCCATTTTCCTGCTTTTGGTAAAGGGGACAATTGTCGTTTTGGTGGCACTACAGTCTCTGTCCACCATTGTTAGAGCTTGCTGCATGCGATCTCTAACTGTATGATTAAATGTTCCCTGAGATATTATGACCAAGTCATCTGCATATCCCACTACTTGATGGTTGTTGCTCTTCAGTAGCTCTATCAGCTCGTCCATCACCAGATCCTACAGCAGGGGTAATAACACTCCGCATTGCGGACATCCCTTTGCATCCCTAGCCGTTACTGTTTAACCTCGGAGCATGCAGTCTATCCATGTGCAGGATGTATCATCAATACCTCGTCGGCTTAAAGCTCTCATGATTGCCTGAGATACTTCTTTTCTTTTCAGTTTCATTCATTCATAATTATCGTATGAAACTTGAGGACTCATCATGAGCCCCATTTCTAGAAAAAATTCGTTCCATCTAACTAAGAAGCCTCTATATCAATCGTGTTAGTTCTATGAATGCCGGAAGTTTAAAATCGGCAAAGCAAATTGTGAAAATAAATGTTTTTAGAGATCCACCTTCAAACCCTCCATCTAAAGCCATGTCATGGTCAATGGGGATTTCAGCATATCTTTTAACTTGAACTATAACCGTAAACATGACTTTATTGACCTCATGAGTAGTTTTAACTTATCCCAACAAGTTCATGAAAGGACAAACTTAGTTAACTGCATTGATAATGTTTTTATTAATTTTAAAGAGGTACTTTTTTAGGATCAATGTTTTTGACCCCCTACTCTCAGATCATAAGGCCAAAGGTGTATCGGTTGGTTTCAGTCATTGTAGACCAGGTTTTACGAGTCAGACTTATAGGCCAATAACGACAAGGGAAACAAATGCCCTTGACTTCTTGTCTTCGCAATTCGCAAAGTTAGACCATGGTAGATGAAGTGGATACCGACATCAATGGAAAATTTGCGGGGTTTATGAAGGTGCTTGAGGCTGATATAAATCATTGCTTTCCATTGAGAGACCGTAAGATGGTAAGCACTGCTGAAATGTCGCTACAGTGGTATGATAAGGACCTTCGGAAATAACATGAAACTCTTAGATTTCTCACAGAATTATGTTATTGAAGGCCAACAGAAAAGACATATACAAGATTACAAGAGGTCTCACAGGACATCATTGCGAGACAGAAAGCACAGAGCATACTGCAATTATATCTAGGAATCCAGTAATACTGTCAGAGCCTCCTGGGATATTGTAAATCATTTCAAGGGTAACAAAATAAATTCAGCAGAATCAGAATTACTGACAGCTCAACACTTCAACAACTTTTTCTCAGGCATAGCAGAGAAATGCTTAAGCCATATCCCGCCCACAAATATAACACACAACGACTACATTGTGGAAATTGATTGTCAGCCAAATGTTGGATTCGCTGAGGTTG